TTTCATATATTACACTAATTTTTTTATATTATATATAGTTTACATTTTATATATATTACACTGAGTCACAGGGCTCAGAGAATTTACAGTGAATTTTCTCTGTAACACTCTAGTCCTAACATACCAGGTTCCCAGCCTGCAGCTTCCACATACTCATTTTATTTTCAGAGATGAAATAGGCCAATGCACCAGAGATGGCTCATTCAGTATATAGGGTCATTCTGTATAGAGATATGCACAATTTTGTGTTCTGTACTATATTTACTTACAGATGTTCTATCAGCCATCTGGGTTATCTGTATCACACAATACTGCAATGAATAGTCTTATAAGGTATTGCAGTATTAATTTATAAAACAAATAATGTTCTTTAAAGAACTATTTTTTTTTTCATGAAAAAATTACATAACAAATGCCTTTAAAGTAGTATCTGGAAGTTACTCTGCATCATGTGAAAGACAAAGGATAGAAGTTATTTAATTTTTATTTCTTTGGAATAAAAATATTCTGAAAAAGCTATCTTACCAAATGAAAGTATTCATATTAAGTAACTAAATAATTTCATTTTCAGTCTTCAAACAACGGAAATATTGATATCCTAGTAATGGTAATAAAGTTTTAAAAATAGGATTATGAAAATTACTGAAATCATATCAGGTTTATTTAACTTTGCCATTTGCTGGTCCCTTACACCATTCAAAGCCTATCTTTTCAATAAAAGAACTTACTTTTTACCAAGTTTTTCTTCTATTCTAACTTTCCAATCATCCATTCTTTCACGTACGAGGGCCTTTAAGGGTGCAATATATACTGCCTAAAAAGAAGAATATAAACATAAAGACATGAAACAGTATTTTCAAATAAGGGAAAAGATAAAATTTATCAACATAGAACAATGCGGTTTTAAAATTCCCTTTGGTAATGAACAATACATTTTTAAATTAATGGGTCACTAACTTAAACTACATTTATACAACATAAAACTATATAATACATCATAAACATTCTATCATAAAACAAACTGATATAGATTGATTTAAAATACTTTTTTAAAGTACCAGAGGCAGAGCTGCAAAGGTGGCACATCAGTTAAGAGTACTGGCTGATCTTAGAGAGGACCCAGGTTCAGTTCCCAGCACCCACATGCCAGCTAACAACGGTCTATAACTCCAGTTCCAGGGGATCTGATGCCCTCTTTCGACCTCCATGGTCAAACCATTGACCTCCATTGTACAACATGGGTGTACTTATATGTACTCAGGCAATGCTCTCATATACATAAAATAAAAATAATAAATAAAAAAATATAAAAAAAACCATCAGAGGCATTTTTCGATGAAATGATATTTTAATACAATGTGAATAAACAAAAATTATGAGACAATACACTACATTCAGAAAATTGTGGTTCTAAGGCAAAATAAGGTTTTCTATATTATGTTTAGGATTTACCTGAGCTATATATATCCTTGAAGAAAGGATATTAATTTTAAAGTAATTAATTATTAATTTTGACTTTTAGAGAAAACTAAATGAACTGTTTAAATTTCAGTGTAGATTTTATGAAAGAGGCTAGATATACATTTTAGTCATTTTGCTTTTTTAAAAAAATATACAATCCTAATAATCTAAGCATAATACAAATTATATGTCCCAAATTATTATTTCCGACATCTTTTAAATGAGATGAACTGTTCTATTGTGCTAATGTCTTGTTTTGGAATCAATAACCACCTAACAGATTGAAAAGTAGGAAAAACAGTAATCCAGGAGAGAAAAGGTACTAATTAGAAATCCCTCCAAAGGTTTAAATATATCTGAAATCACAAATGATGAGAAAAACTGTAATTCTAGTTTTAATGCTCTAAAATTTTCAATGTGAAGTACTCATATACTTTAAAGAAAACCACAGTTAGAAACAACAAAAACTATTGTCAGGGAAACAACAAACCCATCACTGACAAGATCAGTGTCATGGAGCCTGTCCCTGCTTTCTTTTGTATTTTTCTGGTTTCAGATGTTAAATTTATGAAAGTTCAGTAGAATAATGTTAGGAGGAGAATGGGGGGGGGACTATTCATAGGATATGAAGTTTCACATATATAGAATAAATAAGTTCTACAGCTCTAATTAAAACAGATTATAATTGAAGATGCTGAACTAAGTACTTGAAATTTTCTAAGTGTTGATACTAAATGTTTTTACTACAAAACGATTATCTGAAGTGATTGGTATGTTAATTATCTTGACTGCAATAATTTCATAATGTATATGTACATTAAAACAGCACTGTATACCTAAAATATACAGTTTTACTAAAAACAAATAGGGAAGATTTCTAAAAACATGTTTTAAGAAAGGTTAAAATCAATACCTGACTTGAAAAATGATTTCATATTAGCAATATCATAGTATTTTTAAAAATGAGAATAAAAGTTATCTCTATATTTACAGTATATAATCAAACTATTCTTAAAGTATTAATATTTACTTCATAGCCAAAAGGATTTAATTATAGATTACTATGTATCTTATGAATGTGGGTATATCATCATGAAATTACCAATGAGATCTATGTAAAATGAGGGAGAGACATGTGAGCATCATCATATAAATGAGAAATTAAACTAGAGGGTTCCAAAGTTTGAGATAATTTTTTTAAGGCAAATTATTCTAACACTGATCTGGCCCTTTTGGAAATTCACTGGGAGTGAAAATTATCACTGACTCTTGTCAGGATATTTAAAACTTGCTACTTTTGAAAATAAGAATGTTTTTAAAAATCTTTATGTCTTGGGAGCCGGAGAGATGGCTGAGCGGTTATGAACACTAGCTGTTCTTGCAGAAGACCTGGGTTCCAATCCCAGCAACCACATGGCAGCTAACAACTGTCCGTAACTCCAGTTCCAGGGGATCCAACAGCCTCTTCTGTCCTCAGCGGACACTGCACGACACAGGTGCACTTACCTACATCCAGGCAATACATACATACACAGAAAATAAAATGAAAAATAATAAATACATGTATTAAAAGTATTAAAAAAGTATTAAAAGTATTAAAAAAAATCTTTATGTCTCCCTGTAGCCCCAGCTGGCCTATAACTTGTTAGAGATCAGGTTGGCCTCGATTTCACAGAGATGTCTGGCTCTGCCACCTAGTGATGGCATTAAAGGCCCGTGCCACCATTCCTGGCTAAGAATTGTTTTTTTCTGATTGACTGTAAATATATGATTCTTTCAACCAACCTTTGAACTGGGATACATGTTGAAGACTCTGAAAATGGCAAGTTCTGCTGCAACAGTTTTTCCTGATCCAGTGGGTGCTCCAAGCAGGACATTACAGTCTGTGTGGTACAATGTGTGGAATATCTGTGTCTGCACTGGGTTGAAGTGGCTGAAGTTATACAGGGCTTCATATGCTTTGCACCCCAGAGCTGTGATTGGTAAAGGCTGAAGATCCAGTAATTCTGAAAGATCCAACAGGTACTGCTATAAAATAACCAAAAAAGCCATGCCCGTACCGAATACTGCATTTCAAAGAATTAAATCCTCACTTCTTTAGGTGGAGAAATTCTTTTTAAAGTTAGATACTTTTTGATTTATTTTTATTTTATGTGAGTGTGAGTGTTTGCCTGCATGTATATAAGTACACTCACGTCATACAATGCCTGTGGAGTCCAGAAGACGGCATCAGATACTCTGAACTGGGGTTACTGAGGGCTGTTAGCCATGATGTAGGTGCTGGGATTCACATCCTCTGCAAAAGCAGCCAGTGCTCTTAATCACTGAGACATCTCTCTAACCCCTGTAATTTATTTTTCATTTTACTTTATTTTTTGGCTTTTTGGGATGGGATCTAACTTTGTACATAGACCAGGCTAGCCGTGAACTCACAGACATCTGCCTACCTCTGCCTCCCAAGTGCTAGAATTAAAAGCATGTGCCACCATACCCAGCTGAAAGTGAAAATTCTTATTGTAAAGTTTTATACACCAGTAGCATGTCTTTTTATCTGTTCTTCACATCATCATATTGACATTTTGAATACTCTTCTGGGCTAGGTTACCATGAACCAACTAGATCTTTCTCTACTAATTCCAAAGTAATTTGAGTAAGAAGTTCATGAAAGTATGCATGGGAGGGTTATACAAGGAACTATGGGAATAAAGGGGAAGAATGAGCTCAAGAGATAGAGGACCATAGGAGATAAGTGTTATCAAGGGAGAAATGGAGTTAATGGGGATATTTTAAGTGGGGAGAGTATGGAGGGAAGGTTAGACAGGGAGAGAGATAGGAGAGAGAAATGATAGATAGTGTAAAATAGCTAATTCCAGAGGGAATCATATTAGTTCAAAAACCTACTGACAAATTACGTGGACAATATCTTTACATGAGTCCATGTGTTTAGCTGAAGGTTACATAAAGAGAAACAGTGCCAGACAAAAGAAACCTCCTTTTGAGTTGTTGCACAGGGTAGTCCAAGAGACTCCCCAAATTACACAGCCTATTGCCACAGTCCTTCATTGCCTCCCAGAACTTGGATTTAAGACTCTATCATTGAAGACAAGTCATACTTTGGACACAGGATTTGAAGCAGCTTTGGAGAGGACTACACAAGCCACTAAGGGAGAACATTAATCAATGGTCCAACCCAGGGTTTAAGGCCTAATAACCACATCAATGACCAGAATAGCAAACTATAGTGGGGCAGCTGTAGCACTTTTTATCTTGGGGGTAATCAACAGCTACCTAATTGGACTTAAAGCCCAGTCAATGGGAGGAAACTCATGTGTAGTACTGTCACATAGCCAAATATACATGGCTGGAGAAGTCATAGAAAACCCCAGTGCTGTCACATCCCTAGACAAATGTAATTTCTTACTATTTGCAAAATATGAATCTTAATACTTACAGACAAGTATTCTAGTCACCAACCTTCAAAGAATTTTCTTTTGCAACAGATGGAGAGTATTACAGAGCTCCACAGCTGATCATACACAGAGACTGTCTATGAACTGCCCAAGCCTAAGTGGCACATCTTCAATACAACCTCTACACCTAAAGCTCATGGAACGTAGTAGAACAAGGGGTAGAGAGAACACTAATGCATCTCTCAACTCTCATCAAGAACACAAAAGCCTACAAATGGCCAAAACATAGAGATTAAGACTCTGCAGAGTGTGGGTCCTTGAATAGGACTCCTATATTAAACATCACCCACCCAGGGTTCAGGGACCATTGTGGAAGAGGGGATTGGAAAGACCGTAAGGGCCAGGGAAGAGGTACATGATCATATGGAAATAGAATTGTACATTGCTCATTAGAACGTACAGCAATGTTGTCAGCATACACAAGACCCATGCAAACTCAAGTAGACAAAAACCCCAGCACAGAACTGTGGAAATGGGCAGTCTAAGAACTATTGGCAGCTGATTATTGCTGGGTGAGGAAGAGCTGATCTTCTTAACGGGAGGGACTCTAGATGGCCTGACTAGACCTCAGTGGATAAAATTTGCACTTAGTGACATGTGGAGACACTAACTTGACTCAAGAGGCCTTATTACAATGACAGAATGCATAAATTCCAGGGTGGGGAGGGCTATGGGAAGGCACTAATTGGGAAGGGTGGATAAAGATGATCAAGATGTTCTGTACGAAATACACAAAAGTTCAGTAAAATATTTACAAAAAAGAAACAAAACTAAATCTACCTTAGCATATAAACAAAACTAAACACTGCTTACAAATGTTGGTATTGTAATGTTTATTAGGAACAAATTAATTTTCATTTGTTGTACACTGGCCCTTCAGAATAGTTGAGTAAGCCATTCCGACAACTAATGGAAACGAAAGAGAATTTATACTAATTCTAGGGAGAAACTTGGTGAATATTTTAATACAGAAAATGACTAAAAAGAACAAAATCTGTCTGAGAAAACCTTTGAAGAAAGTAGACATAGTTGTTTTTCATAATATGGACTGGAAGTCTAAGGAATTAGAGAATTAATATAATTTAGAGAGATGGTTATACATATTAATATAAACCCTTAAATATCAGACAGATCTTATATTTCCCCATTATCCAGGGAGCTATCTGCTAAAACACCAACCTGTGGTGCTATTGTTAAGATGTTTTACATGGAAGAGGACATGCATTTAAAGTTTAAATAATATTGGATTTTAAAAATTCAGCATACATTTGCATAGTATAATTTTAAAAAGCAACAAATGGTTAATATTCTTCTCAAAAAAAAGTATTTGAAAGTCAAAAAGCTTATTTTTGCCCAATATTTGACTCTAGATTAGCTAAAAGCTGTCTTCGTGCTATCGAGGTCAGGTTATAATCACTTCATTTCTCTGTAGCACTGAAAATCAAGGAGGGAGGAGAAAATTCAAAGTTAAGGCTTAAAATGTCAAAACCTCGTAGATATGCTTTTAATAAGAGGAAAAATACTAATTATGAAATAGGTTTATTCAGAATAAAATAACTTTGAAGCACAGTTACTTTTAAACATTAATTAAGATAGTATTTGGGGAAGTGATGACTCAAATGAGTAGTCAATGTGTTACCTGTATGGGGAGGATGTCTCTCTGGTAGAATCAGATGTTGAAAGTTGATGATACAAACAGCTTCAGCTCCTAACCATCTATCGGACACTGCTCGAATGTAGTATTGGGAAGGCAAAGGCTCAAAAATTGGGATTGTAAATACCAGTAGTTGAGCTTCTTTACTAATGACCTAGAATGAAATAAAATCTAAAATAAATCTGAGTATTCTCCTATCGTAAAGGTCATAGTAGCCTACTGTTAAGAAGGCAGTAGCTATACAAACTATACCAAATAAGAATCTTGGAGTCTAAGCAAATGAGATATTCAGGTACTTCATAAACTTGTGGCTGATTCCCTTTAAGAGTACTTGATATAACAGAAGGTAATGTTTATACTCATTTAGTACTATTTACATATACATATCACCATGCACTAACAGGATGCCACTTTGATTCATTTATCACAATTATCTAAATATTATTCAATTACTTAACTTGATGGCTTTTCCAATTCTAATTACATATCATTATTTACTCAGTGCTTTTGTATAAGTCTTGGCAGTACTTTAAGTGGACTATCATAAACACGTACAATAAACAGTATTGAAAACAAAATACTGCCATGAAAGCCTACTCACGCCCACACAGTACTTTCAGCCTTAAGCTTGGTTTTCTCTTTGATAACAACTAAAATTCCAAGTGAAACACCAATGAAAGAAAGAAACTACATCTCTCTTTTTTGTTTGCTTTCTTTTTTGAGACAAGGTCTCCTTGTAGCCCCAGCTAACCTAGAATTTGCTATGTAGACCAGGATGGCCTCAGTTTCATAGGGACTGGCCTCCCAAGAAGCGCACCACCACACCTGGATAAGAAACTACTCTTTTTTTTTATTGGTAATTTATAGAGAATTTCAGTATGTAATTCAATGCATACCATACCTAAAATGATTATTTATTTCACCTATTTTGAGTATTCCACAGCCCTGGACACCATGGCTTAAAATGTGACCAAGACCATAAATAAACGTTTCCAACTATCATCACATTGAATTATCAACATCTTAACAGTCACTGTGTTCCTTTAAAAGCAAACAGAAGCACAAACAATAATAAATAAAACCTTACTGGAGAGGCATCAAGAAATAAAGTAAACCAGAAACTGATAGCTTATATTTTCTTTTCACAGTAGTAAAGTAAGGGAATAACCACAAAAACACGTATTTACCTGTTTTTTAAGAGTTAGAAAATACTCAGAATGATAAATATGATCATTTGTAGGATCTTCTACCCAAATCCACCACGGTTCTCCCACTGTTCCATGAACCTAGAATAGCAGTATCATAATACTATTAAATGCCCATAATCGAGAGACAGTGATGTTTATATGCTCCACATCTATTGCTTTCTTCAACAACTTTCCAGATACGTAGTTTATAAGTTTACTTAATACAGCAAATGTGGAACAGCCTCTGGAGTTAATTCACTGAAATGTTGCTCAACGTTCAAATTTACAGTTCATTAGATATTGGAAAATTCCATTAGTTGACATATTGATATACCACATTTTCTTAAAAATGAGAGTATATTCTAGGGCCACGTGTGGTGGCACAGGCTTTCAATTCCAGCACTCGGGAGGCAGAGGCAGGTGGATCTCTGTGAGTTCAAGGTCAGCCTGGTCTATACAGTGAGTTCCAGGTCAGGAGACCCTTGTCTTAAAAAGACAAAAAAA